CTTTGGCTGAATTTTATTAATATAAAATCTACCCTTTTTATTCCTTCTCTTATGAAAGGCACCACTCCCTAGTCACTCAAACCAAGCCTCCTCATTCTCTTCCTCCTTAACACCCCCACCTATATTCATGAACCATTAACAAGACATCTTTTTATATTTCTCTGGCATTAATCTCTTCTTCATTAGAGTTTTTTGCACTTCCACTTCTTCCTAAGTGTGGCATGTGAAGCTTTAACTGTTCTGTTCCAGTTTTTTCTTCTTCTTCAGTCAGTGGTAACAGTTCCACCTCTGTTTGCTTTTGTAGTTCTTCTATCATGGTCATAGTCTTATTCAAAGTAGTATAGATGCGGCTCTTAGTCTCTTTCTGTTCAATAGCAACAGGTTTAAAACGTGCATACGAAGTTTGGTATCGAGATTTTATTGCTGAAATTTCCTTTATGAGCATTACTGGATGTTTCTCTCTTGCTGAATCATGATGATTAGACTTGATTTCATATTCCAGGCTGTACTGACAATAATCCAGATCAGAGTCAGCTTTCTGGAACATCAGTTCCAGCTTATCGACCTCCGCCTCCATGCTGGATAGTTTTAAAAAGTTCACATCCTCAGGGAGTCGGGTTCACCGCTAGACCCGGAGCCAGCCCGGACGCCTAGCCGACAAAGTAGGCTTTGGAACCTTGGAAAGCAGGTCTCATGGTTGCAACTGTCAGTTCTGTCGTAGGTCATAGGAACTTCACAAATATTTGCTTGCTTAAAATTTTTCAGAAGTCTTTGACACAATGCATCTCACTCTTTGACTCTCACCAAGTAAATATAAAATATGAAATGCTGAGCCCCATATGGAACCTGAGAGTGCAAGGTGGAAGGGGCTGTGAGCTATGTCCAGGCCCTGCTCTGTGCAGAGAGCGTGACCGCAGACAGGTCTTGGGCACAGCGCGACTCATTCCACACAGAATGGTTTAGTTGCTCTGCAATTTGTACACCAAGTAAGTACAAACTGCTTATGTTTCTCTTTTCAATTTCATGAGGTGCACTGTGAGTATTCCCACTTGGTGTGTCCCAGTATTTACCCCAGCTCCCAGGATGAGCGCGAACATCATTGTCGCGAGCACTCATGACAATAAAATAGATCTTCTGCAAATGGGAAGGAATCAAGAGATGAAGGGAAGGCAGAGGAAGGCAAAGACAAAAGAATTAAGGTGGGTTGTGCATGTGTGCCACCTCCACACGGGAGTGTGAGCACCGTGTACTGAGAACACGGGCTAATAAAAACAAATAAATAAAAATATTTGTTTATAAAAAGGGGCAGGGTGCACAAGTCAATCATAGAGACTCTCCAAAATGATCTAACAGAGCAAGAGGCCCCAGAGCACTGTCTGGGGTCTTATACTCTGCAAGGACACAGGGAAATGCTATCTCTACACCTTGAGCTTGCCTTCAGCAAATCTGCTGGTGCCTCGATTTTGGACTTCCTCCAGAACTGTTGAGTAACTCACGCCTGTTTGTAAGCCAGCCCATTTATCTTGCCATCGCAGCCCAATCAGACAAGACAGGAACACTGTAAATACTTAGTTATAATGTCAAACAAATGTGGTAGAAACTCCTAGTACAAATAAATTACACAGGGAAGTCAGCAGTACAGAAGCTAGTCACAGGGGGTGAAGGGAAAAACAATGGAAAGAGAGATGAAAAAATAGCATGTGACATACACTGTGACTGGGCTGAGTGGGGCTTTTCTTTTTACGAGTACCTAACAGACTAGCCAGGTAAGAATTTAATTTTTTTTTTTTAAAGTCACCTGTGGTAATGCATGGCTGTGACACCAGGATTCAGGCAACTAAGGCAGGAGGGTCCCCATGAGTTCCATGACCTACACAGAGAGACTTTGGCTCAAAGTAAGAAAAAAAAACAACATAGGGTTTTATGTGGCTAACCTTCAATATATGTATAAAAACACATGAGAAGTGAATGATCAAAAACTGTTTTATAACCAAATAGACATTCAAATGTCCACTATTTCCAAGGCTTTGGAAATATAATGACCAAGTAAAGCCATATGTTCAAAAGAGAAATGATAAATTTTCATTTAAATAATATTTTTAAACCATAGGTGTCAGTCAGCATGGTGTCATAGGCCACGGTCCCAGCACTCAGGAAGCTGAGGCAGGAGAATCAAGCCTAGCCTGTGAAATACAGTGAGTTTAAGGCCAGCCTTCACTATAGTGAGACCCTGTCTCAAGAAACTAACCAACCAAGCCTAGCACGGCAGGATATGCCTATAATCCTAGCACTTAGAGACTGAAGCAGGTAGATTGCCCTGAGTTCAACGGCAGTCTGGGCTACATAATAAGTTCAAAGCCAACCTCATCTACATAGTAATACCCTCTCTCAACAACACAAAGCAAGCAACAAAAACCAAACAAACAAGTACGTGGTTAGGGATATAGCTCACTGCAAACAAAAGACCTTAAATTGAACCCTGACTACCATACACACAAAAAGAAGCTATCATTCAAACAAAGCTTAGAAAGATACCAACTAATGGTAGAAAAGGTTCAAATTTAATTCTTGGCTGAATTAATCATTGTGAGCAGATGGTCAGATTTCACAAAGTTGATAATGCTTTTTACATTCACTAGTTCTCTCTTTTCAAATTATGGGTAACTGTGTGGTCCATGAGTCATGCCA